TATCCAGAAATTCAAAAATTGAAAGAATAAAACATTTTAAAAAATTATAATTAAACATTGAAATATTGAAAATCGAAAAATTGCAAAACGAAAAATTGAAAAAATTAAAATAATATAAACCGAAACGAAAAATTGCAAATCAAAAAACTCAAGAAATGAAAAATTGAAAAACCGAAAAATTGAAAAATTAAAATTGAAAACTCGAGAGATTTTAAATCAACAAATTGCAAAATCTACTAAACGTTTAAAAATTCAAACGTTGCAAAATTGAAAACCTGAAAAATTTAGACCTGAAAAATCGAAAAACCTAAGAAACAAAAAACTGAAAAACTGGTTTTAACTTTCTGTAGGTTATCTTATCAGAAAACAAAAATCCCAAAAATTTGTATATTTTTCAAATAAGCGGGATTTGTTGGACTGTAGTCCCTCCAGGGGCGAGCGAAGTTTTGTTAAAATAACCTTCGACCAGTTTCATACACATTAAAAATCATGCGGCCTAATTTTAAACAAATTTTCTAGCTGGAGTAGACGATGTGGCAAAAATAACATGAAAAATTGAAAAATAACAAACCTCTGTGAAACACAATTATCAAAAGCGGAAATTGGGGAAAAAGAATAACTCAAAATTAATACTTAGGAATATTTTCCGATTACGAGTATGACTTCTAGGGTTTTTTTCACACCAGTTTCCACGGCTACACTTTTCAGCAGTTCTTCTTTACCAAATTATCACATTTATCCTGTGCATAATAACTACTATGATTCCAAAAACTGAATGGTATAAAAGTTGATAATGTTTGCGCATTTAGCACTTGTTGAAAAAAATTGCCTTGAATTTTCCATTTGGAGTAAATCAAACTGAAAAATCGTAAATTTTGATCATTTTTCGGTTTAGAAATATTCAGTTTACCTTTTTCCAGATCGTATTTATTTATCCGAAAATGTTGTTATGTAACCTAGTATACATTCGAATTAAGCACTTGTGTGTCTAAGAATACACTTTAGATCTGTCTAACTAACTTTACGTAAACAAGTTAGGTTTGTCTGTAATTTGGGTAATTACTTGTCAGGCGTACAAAACAAAATGTTTTTATATGTTATGTGTTAACATCACTTAGGAGACAATAAAGCGAAACCTTAGACACTTCAACACAATGTGTGATAAATGACAAATCCACTACGAAATTGCGAAAAATAACGAAATCAGTGTTCGTTAAACGAGAAAACTTACTTGAGTACAAACTCGTCTCGTTAGAGAAGGATATAATAATTTGCTATTTTTTTTGTGTTTTCTTTAAAAGCTAGAGTGTTAGATCTGAATATAAATAAATAAAAAGACCAAATATGATAACTGGAAAAATGCTTAGGAAAGGAAAAACTATTTTGTGAACACTCAAACAATAAAATAATAAAAGAAATTTAGTGCTTGTCGTTTTCAAAGACTATCTCAAAATCACATGTTAAAGGCAAAATCTTGGCCAAACAAATTGTGAATTGGACATATAATGGATATTCACGGAAAATTATTTGACGATGGTATTTATACCTTGTTTTTAGAGCAACTGACCTAAATTAACTTTGAGAATTTGAAGTTGGATTCATTGACCATATTTCAAGATTATTGCTTACGTGACACAATTCGTGTCGCTGAAAACCTAAAAAAATCTGTGAAATTATTCAAATAAACGTTTGTCCTTTCTGAAATAAAATAGATAAAGCATGACATTGAAGACAGAACAAAAATAATTTCTGGTTGTTACTGTTGAAGTAAAGAACAACGGACAAACGTCATTGAGTTGGCCCTATTATACCACCCATCAGTCGGAAAGCAAAATATGAAAAAAACTGTCTCCTTTTTTTTCAGACGAAAGTTCTAAAGCGCCGCCACTGACAGGACATATTTTCTCCCTTTCGTTTCTGTCAATTTTTTTCGAATATCTCTCCCCATTTGCCGCTCCGTGAGCAGAATCTAATAACCCGAAAATATTAATCTCAAAACTTTCAAGTAGGGGGAGGCCTATACTTTTGTTTATGTTTTATAACAGTGAATTATGAAAAAGGCAGGACTGAAGAAACTTCGACATCCTTTGTCATTCCAGAGCAACTTCTGTAAACCCGATTCAGCCTGGTCTAGATTTTTCGAGAATAAAACAGAGTGCGCTTTAATTAAAGCGGTTGTTTGGTACCGTCATAATTGCTTCATAATCCAGTGCAAAGAAAATGCAGCAGAGCGAATAAACATCTTACTCTCATCGATCACAGGAAAAGCGCAATTTCCGTCGACTTGTGCATTCGTTTATTTTTCAACCGAAAATTTATGGATACCATTCGATGCTGATTCATCTCCACTTAGTTTTAATTGGAGTTATGGAGTTCTTAATTTGGGATTTATCCGGAAAGTTGGCCGCAGTGCTCCACAGCTGCCGCATTTACCTGAAATGAAAGAGCGTCTAATAAAGTCAAACGGAAGCTTCGCCAAATGATGATGGCCGGTGTCGAATAAATTCAGTCGAAACTACAAATTGCTAAACGGCATTATTTAACTATTACCTGCTTTTACAACTACATAATTTATTTTAAATTGTAGCCAAGTAACATCTGCTGCTAGTTAAATAATGCAGCGGCTAATCATATCAGTAAAGCTAAATTCATCAAATAAAAATACTTATAACGGCACCGAATTAGTGAAAAACACTGGACGCGTATTTTTTTTTATTTCCTGAAAATGGTTAGGAGTAGCTGCATAATTTAAAGATGACTTCTGAAGTTTATTGACCGTAAAAAAATAAATGAAGGTGGAAGCAATTTTCTCCACTTTAACGTCTCCATAGGAAAAAAATTAATTTTGTGAAGTTAGTGTCCAAAAATAGACTATTTTTCCCGAAAATCTATTTGGACCAAGAACGTCTCATGTCTGAAAGAACGTCACGTCGAGATTTGCATTTCAGCCAGACGTTCTTTTATGAGCTATTAAATCTTTGAAGATAACGTGCCTCAGGTGTTAGCACATTCTCACACTCGTAATGAAGACGTTAGTCAAGACGGGACAATGGGAATGTTGCACAAAACTTGTTAATTAACGGGGTGTTTTTGTTCTTTGCTCTTGTGAACGCGGGAGGCTGAGGCTGTTTTGAAAGAGACGACGATCTTTTATATTCAGTTACGTGGGTTTGAAAAGTGGAAAATATGTAAAGAAAACTGATGTAATTATGTTACGAATATTATTATATTCGACACAAATAGTTCAAATGGCTAGAATAGTATCCACACAAATTATTTAAGGTGACTTGTGTTGATAGTACTCACAGAACTATAGGTTAAAAATATTTTTTATAGTGCCGAAAGAAGATAAAATTGAGTTTTTGTATTTTTGTTTTATTTCCTTGTTAGGCTGTTATATTTTGTAACTAGATGAATCAGGTATTTTCGCGATGGCGGAGAAATTTTGCTACGTGTTTACTGTTGTCCCTTCCACAATGTACATATAATTATAGAGTGAATTATATGTATAATATTCTGAATGGAGAAATTTATGATACATTTATCGAGATAGGCAAATTTATGTAACATTAATAGCTTTAATAGTCTCATTATTTATATTTATGGCCTTAGTTTTTTACAGTATTGTAGTCAAACAGGAGCTGAGGCTAGTGCATTGAATTTCAAAAAAAGATCTTTTATATTAAACTGAATTAGTAATTTAATTTTTTTACATGTTCTGTATTCCCTTCGGGGATCCGGCCCTGGATAGCAAAGCGAAAAAGCGTAAAACCAAATTTAGTACTTGCTCTGATAAGACTGATTTTGGCAAACTTCTTACTCCGTGAGAAAATAGAGGACGGGATTTTTAATCGTTACTGGGGAAATTTGCAATTTAATACTTATAAATTTCACAGGTTTTTACAAGATTAATAGGGACAGAATTAGTTTTATCTTAACAAGTACTAGGCCTGCCCACCCGCCGCGTATTTTCTCAAAGGATCTCATTTGCCGAAATAAGACTTATGTGAGCAAGTACTAGCCCCGCCCACCCACCCTATGTTTTCTCAGAGGATATGTCATCTGCCAAAATCAGTCATTTCTTACCAAGTACTACCCCCACCCACCCGCCCTTTATTTTCTTAGAGGGTAAGACTTGCGAGTACTTTCTAAGATAAAGCTTATTTTGGCAGATGACATATATCCTGAGAAAATATGGGTGGGTGGGCGGGGCTAGTACTTGTTCTGATAAGACTGATTTTGACAAACTTCTTACCCTCTGAGAAAATAGAGGACGGGATTTTTAATCGTTAGTAGGGAAATTTGCAATTTAATACCTTTAAATTTCACAACTTTTTACAAGATTAACAGGGGCAAAATTAGTTTTATCTTAACAAGTACTAGCCCCGCCCACCCACCCTATGTTTTCTCAGAGGATATGTCATCTGCCAAAATCAGTCATTTCTTACCAAGTACTAGCCCCACCCACCCGCCCTTTATTTTCTTAGAGGGTAAGACTTGCGAGTACTTTCTAAGATAAAGCTTATTTTGGCAGATGACATATACCCTGGAAAAATAGGGGTGGGTGGGCGGGGCTATTACTTGCTCTGATAAGACTGATTTTGACAAACTTCTTACCCTCTGAGAAAATAGAGGACGAATTTTTTCTAGTTAGTAGGGAAATTTGCAATTTAATTAAGTTCAGTTATAAAACGGTCAACGATCGAGATTATGGGGAAACTAGAGGAAATAAATAAACAATATAAATACCAGAATAAAGTAAAAATAAGATCATATACAGGGGGAACTAGTGAAAATTAAGCGACAAAACAGGAAGATAATGGGAGGAAGAATTTCAGAAAAAAGGAAACCTGCAAGAGGAGAACCTGCAAGAGGAGAATCTAGAAATTCTCGAAAAGGAGATGAGAAAGAAGAATACATGGAATACAAGAACGATAACGAGAATTGAATCCAAATTAACTACAAATGCAGGAAAGTTTTGGGTAAAATAGGAAACAAAAATGAAGACAATATGGTGGAAGATCACCAAAGGAACTTGGGCAAGAAGAAAAGAAGAGCTAAAGATAGATGGAAACATATCCTATCTTAATGATTTAGGGTCAAAATCTAGCAGCGGATGAAAAAGAAAACCCGAAAAAACGACCTTAGTAAAAAAGATGGACAAGCAAAGTGAGAGGAATAAGAATAAGGGAAAAAAGAAGAATACAATGAAAACAGGGGCATAGCTACAAAAACAGTAGAGCAGAAAGAGAACGAAAATCCTTTTTTGGAATGTCACAAGACCGAAGAATAACGAAGATGACTTTTGGAAGTATCTAGGTTTAGTAGAAACATCAATAGAGGTAAAAGTGTGGGAAGAGATGAAAGAAAAAATGCCGAGGATATGTCAGGGGCAAAAAGAGAAAAGAAGAAAGGAATAATTAAAAGACGAACAGTAATGGGAGTAAAACAAGGAAAGAATTAAAGTGCAGTGAAGAATAAGGATATGAACCGTCATAACAAAACGAAACAAATGGCACATCGGAACAATATATCGAGTGTCTGGAAGATGGCGGATTAACTCTTCAGTACGTTATGTACGGCAGATTCGTTTTTTTTTTTAATAGGTTATAGCCCCACCCACCCGCCCTCTGTTTTCTTAGAGGGTATCTCATTTGCCAAAATCAGTAATATCTTAGCAGGTACTAACCTGATGATTTTAATATGTACTTCGCTGAAATTGCGGAACGTCTAGTATCTCAACGTCCTGTAAAAGCTAAGAATCCTCTTCATTTGATGGGCAATACTCCGACTCCTTCCAACTCTTTTGGACTACTATCAATCTCTGAGGGAGAAGTATGTGATACTATAAGACATCTTAAGAGCACCAATAGTTATGATATATATAACATTAATATCCAAATTGTTAGATTAACTATGCATACTTTTATTGTGCCCTTCACGGCCTTCCTGAATCAGTGTATCGATCAAGGAATATTTCCGGACTCTTTTAAAATCAGTAGGGTCGTTCCTATTCATAAGTATGGAAATGTTGAGAATGTAAATAATTATAGACCCATCAGTATCATACCTGTTTTTGGGAAAATCTTTGAAACATTACTCAAAGTTAGATTGCAGAACTACTTTGACAGGTTTAACATTATTAATAAATTTCAATTTGGCTTTAGATGTGGCAAATCAACCATTTCTGCCTTATCACATTTGTTAACACTCATAACTGACTCTCTCGAAAAGAGTAGATCAGCAGCGGTAGCATTATGCGACCTGAGTAAGGCCTTTGATTGTGTGAACCATCAAACTCTTCTTGCCAAATTAGAGCTATACGGCATCAGGGGATTATCATTGCAATTACTCACTTCGTACTTGACTAACAGACGACAGTGTATCAGAGTAAATAACATACAGTCTGATCTTAAGACTGTCCTACACGGGGTTCCACAGGGGTCAGTACTGGGACCCCTACTATTCATAATCTACACCAATGATTTTTACTACTATATAAAGGACAAGGCGGACTGTGTGCTCTTTGCAGACGACACTACTCTGACATGTAGTAATAGTGTTTCAAATTTAGCTACTGAAAAGGTGACGGAAGCAGTTAAGAATGCTGAAGTGTGGTTCAATTCAAATTATTTAAAGTTGAACCAACAGAAAACGCAACAGGCTCTATTTACCTCTAGCAATGCTACTTATGACAGTACGAGCTTCAGGCTACTGGGACTTGAAATTGACTCCAGTCTTAGATGGACTAGTCAGATTGATTCTATTTGCAAGAAACTGTCATCAGTGATTTTTCTATTGAGGAAATTAAAACAATGTGTCAGTTTTAAGGTGGTTCGCAATACATATTTTGCACTATTCCATTCTATTTTAACCTATGGTGTAATTTTTTGGGGAAACGCTTCAGACTCCTTAATTGTTTTCCGCTTGCAAAAACGGGCCTTGCGTGTTATGTGTGGACTTAATTGTCGAGAACACTGCCGTCCTTACTTTATAGAGCATAGGATTATGACGCTACCTTGCACTTACATTTTACATTGTGTGAATGAAATTCATAATCATATATCAGAATATACTTTTCAGAATCAAATTCATAGTCACAATACTCGTTCTGCCCATGAAATTAGGACCACAAAATTCAGACTCCAAAAGTCTAAAAAAAATTCGCTTGATGTTAGCTTATACAATAAACTTCCCCTAAGTATTAGAAATTCGAATACTAACTACTTTAAAAATTATATGAAGCAGTTTCTCCTGTCAAATGCTTTCTACAGTGTCAAAGAGTTTCGCGACCATGTATTCTAAGTTCGATTTATCTGTTTGTATTTGTTGTCTACATGTGTCTAATTGTGATATACCTACTTGTTATTTCTGTAGAATATTGTATACATGTTTTTGTGTGGAACGATGCCAAATGTAGTGTTTCTATGTAACGGCTGAATAAAGTTATTATTATTATAACCCCGCCCACCCACCCTCACCTTTCTTACAGGGTAACTGGTTTGCAAAATCAGTCTTATTTTACTAAAATACTACTAAAAGATAATAATAAAAATTCTTTATCATGTAGATTAAGAAAAAAACGTAATTTTATAAAAGTAAAGTTCCGACTTTCTGATTTCTTAGTAAGGATGGTGACTAAAATCCACCTTTTATTTTTTTTAGGACATTAACCGTAACAACCAGTAGTCATTAATCGTGGTGCATTATTATTAATAAAACAAGCTGTTATTTTTCATTAACAAATAGACCAAAATGAAAACATTTAATAAGACATTTATAAATTTTAAACAAAAACATAAACGACAAATAAATCCATTGAAACAGAACCAACTAAGCACTAGCGGTGTTCCAAATTCCTACCTTGGGCATGTGAGTAAGCTCGCAATGTTTCCAAATTTTGATCGTTTTTTGTAAAAGTTAATCATCAGTACTTGTTAAGATAATAAAATAAAACTGATTTTGGCAAATGACATACCTTCTAGGAAAAGAGCGGGTGGGTGGGCGGGGCTAATACATGCCAAGATAAGACTGATTTTGGCAAATGATATATGTACCTTCTAAGAAAAGAGAGGGCGGGTGGGCGGGGCTAGTACCTGCTAAGATAAGACCGATTTTGGCAAATGACACAATCCCTCTAAGAAAACAGAGGACGGGTGGGTGGGGCTAGAACCTGTTAAGACTGATTTTGGCAAATGACATATTCTCTAAGAAAATAGAAGGTGGGTGGGCGGCTTACCGTACCCTGTAAGAAATTTAATTAAATTATTATAATAAAAAACACTGGAAGCTCCAAAGCACTTTCAAATTCTTTCCAAACAGGAATACCTAGAACTTCAAGATTGTTTTAAATTTAAAAAAAAAACGGGGTCTCAAAATTAATTGAAAAACAGGTCAGGTCTGAATTTTCTAAAAATGGAACACGAAAATCTCCCAAAACTGTTTTAAATAATTTAAAAAAAAATCTTCATGGGCTCCCAACATAATACACCCTGGGTACGCAAACATTGCGACACTCAAGAGTTTTTCAGATTCGTAAAAATAAAACACTAAAAGCTCAAAAGATTTTTTCAGATTCATCCAGCAACAAAACGCCAGATTCCTTTAAATTTATCCGAAAATAAAACATCAGTAATTGACCTAAAATTAACTGCGAACATTTTTAACGTAAGGTTTTGAAAACTTTTTTAACTGCTTAACTGATTTTTGCTTTGTAGGTAAACATTGTTGTCAAATGGAATTTTTTCAAATTATTATAAAAACAATACAACCATATCTTTCTAACTAATGGAGAGAGAAATATTAACTAAAAGTTTTATTTCTAGTTATTGTAATAATGAATGTGTTGTTTACTTGTTAAAGGTATCAAAAGAATCAATTCTAAAATCATTATAACTCCACCAAAATGTGAGAAGTAATTGTGTGCAGACACCCAGTATAGCATGAATATGCCAAAATAGAAACAAATGATAATGATTACATAATTGTAAACGACGATTTCAATGCAAGAATAAGAAGAAAGGGAAGAAGAATATGCAATACAGAAAATGATGGAAAAAGAAGATCCAAAGATAAAACTCAAAATAACAACTGTTATAGAAACTATTTAACATTTTAAATACTGATCAGTATTATACACAGTGATTTCGAAATATATGCAAAAGAATGGGGAATAGCTCACAATACGATTATGTCACTGTGTAAAATTCACGGCCCTAAATGGTAGCAGTGTCTAGAAAAAATTATTTGACATTAAATATAAATTGTTATACACGCCTACTTCTTTCGATCAATTACACAGAACGATTCGGATTAAGGACCAAAAAAAGCGACTGATAAGTCGCAACGCGCAAAAACACGAAAACGGCCAGTCATGATCCGTTGCTTGCATCGAACGGTCGGGAGTTGGTTTATGGCGCATTTTTCCCATTCAGAGTGTGTCGATATGGTACTCCTTTATTGTATGCACGAACATTTGCATCAGTGGTACAGCATCTCCGAGATCATGCTACCTTCAACCTCAAACTCACAATCGTGTCCGTGATAGGACAGAAAGAATACTGCAAGCTGAAGAACAAATTTTGGAACCTGACTCAGCACTCGCCGACTTGCAGCTGAAGTTGGAGTTTCACAGCTTGTAGTGCATCTTACATTAAAAGAACAAGACCACATCCGTTCCATGTTCAAAAAGTGCAAGGTTTGGAGCCCTCTGATTGTCCATTCCGGTGGTTTTGTGTACTGCTAGTCAAGGACAACATTTTTAACATTTATTGTAAAAAGGTAGCAGCATTCTAAATTGCTCTTATTTTTGTTCTAAAACATCCATCAGAATCAAAAGTCGATCACCATGAAGCATGACCAAAAATCTTTCGCACTGACCTTCAACGATGAATGAATGCATGAACGAACGAATGATAAGTAGCAAAAAGTCGGTTTTACTTTTAATTGAAACTGAAAGTGTTTACATCGTTTTTATTCGAACGTTTTTCCACCTCTGTTTACAAGGTGGATAAGTGACCTCGTATCGAGGGTGGTTCATTCGATTTTTAATTTGTTTTTTCTATATTTCCACACTACTACGTCACGTAATGCCGTGATTAAAATTATTGCATATATTTCGAAATCACCATGTATAACTTACTTCGAATTCTCTCTACTGCTAAAAATTTAAGTTAAGAACGACGTAATGGGTGTCCAAAAAATTGAAAGAGTTATCACGTTGGCGCTGTTTTTTTAAATAGCTCAGAAATCGTAACGAAAAACGCAAGTGAGGTTAAATTGTATCATGTCGCTTTGTCAACTGTTATCGATTACACTTTAGGTTTATTATAGACAACTACACAACATTTGAAAAAATAAAGACCAAATTGACTTAAAAATAAACTATAGAGCATGTTCCAGATAAAACTCCGCTACCTAATGTCTTGAAAAAGGATAGAGAAATTGAAATTCTGTAACACCTCTGTTTTTGGTTGGAGGTTATTATTATTACTATTATGGTTATTTCGACAGGACTTCCCTCCCCATATTTGCACTGTACTAAATTACGCTTCCCCCTTCAAGCTAAAAACAATGGCGTTTATAGAATTTCAACATCTCTATCGGCGGCTCATAGACAATTTTTTTGACTGTTTTTGTCTCAACAATACTCTATATGAACCCCTGGGTAACTTTTAAATCAATGTTAATGTGTGGTTAAACCTCGTCAACTTTTAGATTGAGAATGAATAGATATAAACGAGAGGTGATAGCCAATAGACAGAAAAATAATGAAAAAATATAAATTTCCTGTGTTAGAATACGTAGCTTTAAACAGAAATTAGTGAGAAAAAATTATCAAACTTATAACAAATGTGAAAACAATGGATATCTACTCTATTTGACAAAATTGATCTTAATAGCCTTTCCCATTCATTCTAAACTCTGATTAATGGAAGACTTAATATACATTTAATGCAGTTCCTTAAAGAACTAAAACAGTTTAATTTTGCGATTTGTATCTCTTCCCACTTCCTCTTTCTGACTGAGAATGTTTTCCCACTGCACATCTGGACCCGATTAGTTTCTCTTTCAACGTCACCGAAGACAGTTAGCTTATTTTTGTGATTATCTGTCTAAGACAGTCCTTATTACTGTTAGATCTGCTTTTATTAAAATAGATCGTGGATGATATGTGCGTTTTTAGCGTCGTAGTCTTAGCGGCAAACACGATTTTCCCCAATCCTTGACGTATTAATTCACTGTTTAAAAATCAGATAAATAAAAGTCCGTATATTTCACCTATTTATGCGTTGAAGTCACATTTACCAAAAATATGTGTTTAAACTTGAGGTAATACTCCGATCAATACATTCCCAGGATTTATTTATTCAATATGTTCTTACGTAAACGCAGAAATAGGTAAAGCCTGCAGCATTGTTTATCGAATTTATAGGGGAAATTTTCAAATGATTGATTTGGCGTCTATTTTGCTACTCGAGCCACAACCGAGCGATTTAAAAATGTCTCGTTTTTTAAATAAACCATTACAAAATATAAACCACTTTAATTACTTAAAATGGACGTTCATTTTGCGTGTGCGATATCGTTCATGCATCAGTTGATTCTGAAGTCTGAAGGAATTTATTCGTCTGGGGATTTTAAAATTCCGTGCCTTAACCAGCACTATAAATCTAACGAACTGTTGCAGTGCAAGCAAAACAAGAACATATAATTATCCCTTGCAAGGTGTTTACAGCTGCAAATGAGCACTGCACCGTATTTTAATTTTTCTAATTAAGAGGGCTTACATCTAGGTCTCCTTTCTTGTTCTACAATTAGCATAATTCGAGAATTTTGCATCTCATTTTTACGTTCACTCCAAGACAATTCCGGGCACTAATTTCTTCGCTATTAGAATAATTAAATTCTCACACATCTGCTTGCATAGCGCTTTCCTCGCCGACAACACCCCGACTTTGCGAACTTTTATTGTGACACCTTAAATCCCCCCACAACAGATGTACGAATAAAAGTGGAACGTCAGATTTTATTGACAGCGCCAGTGTGTAAATGTGTTTTTTTAGAATCTTATTTTATTTCCGCGTTTATGATCGATAAAATGCTTGTATATTTTATTCGAGGGATTTGCATACGTGGTAGTTGATTTTGGGGTTAATTGTTTTCGGCCGGAGGGTGTTTGTGATATAGTTACAATTTAACACGCTCGGAGCTTGTTATTGTTTAGATAACGATCTAGTTTTAGGAGATATTTCGTGATTATGTTATCACAACAACGATTTTTGTGTTTTTATATTTTCGTTGCGTGATAACGTCCATTTTCACAGATTCTTTCGCTTTTTTTCGACATCTTGACGAGGGTGTTACCACCTGTTTTCGCTGTTTTGCACAGCTGGTCACTCCCACCTGTGTGAAACTGCGAAGCGAAGAATTTTACTTGAGCTAATGGAGCTATAAAGATTAAGCTGCCTTCTGTTCGAAGATGTTTAATATTTTACTGCTTTGTTGCTTTATGCCCACGGAATTAAACTCATGGATTTCTTTTTTTAATCGTTTAATTTTAACTTAATGGAAATTCAGGTGCCAGCCTACGTGTACTGGTGGCAGATGAATTTCGAGCATTGTTTTATGATTAAAGCAGTTTAACTTTTTTTTTAATAGGTAATCATAAATGGAAATATACGTTCTCCATCTAGCCATTTTTGTAATGTCTACGCTCTACTTTTGTTTCTTAATTCTACCATAATTTCCTTCTTTTAGTTTTTGTTTTTTCTCAAAATTTTCATTGTACCGTTTTTGTCCTAACTCTCACACATGTGTCATTGCAGTTACTGCCTTTTGCTATTTTTTGGTCTGTTATTAATTATTATTGTTATTTTTTAAATCGTCCAAATTGAACTTTTGAACTTCTTCAGTTCTTCAGTTTCTACTTCTTTTAGAAATATTTTTCCGTATACATTGATCCCTTTATTTTCTGAAGTTTGTTTTGACTATTTGTATTTTTCGATACATCGGCTTTCTTTTCACTCAATCCGGGCATTAATTTTAAATTCACCGTCGTGTGGCTTTTCCACGTAATTATCTTTTAACTTTTTTAAATTTTTTTCAAACTAATTTTTTATCTGTGTGATGTACCGTTATAATTGTCTATATGTATTTACTTTGAAATCACTAAGGGCCCCGTCCTCGATATCTCATTATCTTATTAATCACTAGAGACAGAAAAAAAGTTATATATGTAAATAGTTCTTTAAGTACCACACTCTAAAATTATTTTCAACTATACAAACTATTTTGTTTTTGAGGCCCAATATATACATAGTTTTTTTTTTATGGAATAGCTTATATATTTTTACATAGCCTGATTGGCGTTATAGGATTTATAAACATAGTTTATTGCTTCCTGAGCATAGGCTATGGAAGTGGAAGTAATCGAGTCGAATCGGGTGACTTGCCACTTTCATTTTTTCTTGACGTTTCATGCCCCCTGGTGTACGAAACGGGTGTCTCTTGTTTCCGTCTGTCTGTCGTCTGTCTGTCTGTTCCGATTTTTATTACCCAGATAATCTCTGAAAGTACTGGACCGATTGTTGTCAAATTTTGTATGTATATTAAGACAGTCATGTAGATGGTAAAACGCTAACTAAGATTTGGCCAATCGTTCCCAATGGGATGACGTTACCTCCAAAATTTACAATAGTAAATTTGTTTTTAATTTTATAAAATAAGGTCTATGTGGGGTATGAATCCGTGTTTATTTTGGCCCTAAACATCCAGAGGTTTGGAAAATATCAAAATTATCTAACAACATTTTGCAATTTAACAGCAAAGCCGAATTCTCTGAAATCTTTCAAACGTTTTAAGGTCATCGTAATAATGGTAAATCGTTAATTGAAATGTATTTGTTTGTCCCTTCCTAAAAAATCAATTACGTCATCTCAAAATTCTCTCTGAAATATGCAAAATATATATATCAATAGTTGTGGTTTATCAATGCATTCATAGTTTTTAGAATTGTTATACAGAGTGACTCCAAAAATTAATAAATGGAGAAACGAGAATATAAATCGAGAACGACTCAATCACTTATCACAAAAAAATGAAATTCGAAAATCAAATATTACAATTTTTTGAAAAATCTGTATTCAGTTGTACTGTATTTCAGAACTTGTTGGAATAACCTTTGATCAATTTATTTCGATTTTTAAGTCTCTCAATTTTTAATCTTTTGGCTTTTCAATTTTTTATTTTTCAATTTTTCATGTTCTTGATTTCCAATATTAAGTTTTTTCAAAATGTTCGTTTTATGCTTTTTTATGTTTACATCTTTGTTTATTCATTATTGTTTTTTCATTTTTGTTTTTTCAGTTTTACAATTTTGCAAATTTTTCCGTCTTTTGATTCGAAAAATTGAATAAAAAATTGAAAAATTCAAAAATTAAACGAAAAACTAAAAAACTGTAAAAAATTGAAAAAGGAAAAACTGAAAATACTAGAATTTGAAAAATCTGAATGGTGGAAAATCGGAAAATTGCAAAGCGAAAAACTGAAGAAACGTTGAAAAACTAAAAATCGAAAAAATTAACGAATTGATAAATGGAAAGAAGATAAAACGAGCCGAATCTAAAAACTGGAAAATCCA